CGTGAGAAGAAACAAGAATGGTTGAACTATGAAACAGTTGGGTACAAGTACTAACCCTAATTGGGTTGTACCCCTTATGGGCTACCCCACTACAGCCTACACAAATGTATAAGCTATAATGTTCTGACACACCCCCATAGGCAAAGTGGGGGAGAACAAGGGGTCACAAGACCAGTCAAGCAAAGCAAAGCAAAGCAAGCTCAGGGTGGATCACAAAGTCACCACACATTCCGAACACAAGTTCAAGGCCACAAGGCCAGTTCACATGCAGGAGTACATATATATAAAAGGCTAGACAAGCAAGAGTAGGTGCATATATATATCTGTAACCCTACAAGCAAGGTCAAGAGGTGAGCAAGTGAGGCAAGGAAGGCACAAGACCCAGCTGAGTACGGAAGCGCTGATGATCACAAGGCGCAAGTGCCTTGGTGAAGATATCAGCAGTGTTGGCCTCAGAGGCCACGTACGCAAGACGCAGCTGACCACACTACTGTAGCTCACGAGTAAGGAAGTAGCGAAGAGCAATGTGCTTCGTTCTGTGCTCCAGTCTCTCCTCCAGACACAAGGCCAGCATGGCCTTGTTGTCTACGTACAGCACTGGAGGAGAACGAGGAGGCTCTCCGAGGTCAGTCGGCAGGTAGGTGAGCCAGCGAAGCTCTTGTGCAGCCATGGCTCCTGCGTAGATCTCAGCCTCACAACTGGAGCCGAGAACAGAAGACGAGCGGGTAGCCCGCCACGAAACAGAGCCGGAACCAAGGCTGAAGGTGTAACCCTGTGATGACCGCTGCGTAGCCTGGTCGTCAGCCCAAGAAGCGTCTGCGTGCCCAGTGCGGACCACTGGACTCTGCCCTCCAAGCACAAGCCCCATGCCCGACGTACTGCACAAGTAGCGCAACACCCTCTTCGCTGCAGCCATGTGTCTCCCAGGAGCAACATAGCGTGCAAGAATGCTAAGAGGGTATGCAAGGTCAGGTCGTGTGCAGGTCATCAGGTACATGAGGCAGCCAACAAGCTCTGGGTACGGGCCACTCGACTCTACGGACTCATCCGAAGGCAGAGCTGAGAGCGAGTGGCGAGTAGGTAGAGGAGTGGCCTGAGGCGAGGAGTACGTGAAGCCGAAGCGCTGAAGGACCTGCTGCACCATGTGTGACTGAGTCAGGGTAATGGTGTGGCATGCTCTGTCCCGGGTGATCTGCAAGCCAAGGTAGCTGTGCACGTGTGTCTCTTCTGCAGCTCGGACTTCACGTGGGCGAGTCCAGCAGTGTCAGCTGTGGCAAAGACCAAGTCGTCGACGTACACGAGGATGTAGAACGGCGGCAAAGAATTGTCGGTGCGCAGAAACAGCGACGGGTCGGGAGTAGTGGGAGCAAACCCAAGAGCCGCAAGTGTAGTCCTCAGTGTGTCGTGCCACTCACGCGGTGCCTGGCGGAGACCGTAGACTGACCGCCGGAGGCTCCACTGGGTGCCAGGAGGAAAAGACCCAGTGAAGCCAGGTGGGCGACGCAGCCAGATCTCCTCGAGCAGGCTGCCCTGCAAGAAGGCAGTGCTGAAGTCAAGAGAGTGCAGCTCGTAGTCACGGTGAGCAGCTATGTGCGGCAGTACCCGAAGAGTGGTCATCTTCGGGGTGGGAGAGAAGGTCTGAAAGTAGTCAACTCCCTGCCGCTGACTGAAGCCACGAGCCACGTAACGCGCCTTGAAGACAGGCGGAGAACCCGGCGGCCGCTTCACCCTAAAAAACCACATGCGACTGACGATGTTCGCCCCAGGCGGGGGAGCCTCGTCAACGTAGGTGCCTGTGGACTTCCAGGAAGCCATCTCTGTGTCCATAGCTGCCTGCCACTGAGAGGAGTAGGGACCCTCTATCGCCTCCGCGTAAGAGCGCGGAGTCGGGATGTCAAGTGCATCCGGGTCTCCCTCAAGGGTAAGCAGTACGGACACGAGATGAGGTGAAGCAGCAGCCAGACACTGGAACTCCTCCTGCCTGTCCTCAAGGACGTCCGTGCCAAGGGCACACTCACCCCTGACGGACGGAGGAAGGACAGACTCAGACTCAGCGACAAGACTAGCAGCGTAGTCTAGGCGACAGCGAGCAGCAAAGTCGACGAGCTCAGCAACTAGGGCAGACGCAGCAGTGGACTCAAAGGAAGGGTCAGTGACGACAGTAGCAAGGAGACGCGTGACAGTAGGACTGGCAGCACGAAGAGAGTCCGACTCCGGGTCGGGAAGAGCAGGAAGAGAGGACTCAGGAGGAGAAGGCAAAGGGGCACGCAGAGGAGCAGTGGACGGACGAAGAGACATCCGGTGCGTGCCAGGGACAGAAGGAGGACGCTGACGCGAACCACGACCACTAGTGCGAGCAGGACAGATAGGCAACGCAGGGCGAGACGAAGGCTCACGACGCTCAGCAAGACCTCCAGTAGGACCAGTGTAGGGAGAAGGAGCAGGCAGTGGGGAGGCCGGCTGTAACTGTAACTGTGACAGGACAGGCTGTGGACACTCTAAGGGAAAAGGAGGACCAGTAGAAGGCGGAAGACCAAGAACATGCTGAAGGAGTGGAACGAAGTACGCCCGAGGCCGTGCGGCGAGTCCAGACACAGCAGGGACAGCACCAGTACCCCCAGTGGTAGCACCAGTGCCAGGAGCACCTCCAGCTCCAGGACCCCCAGCAGCTCCAGTAGCTCCAGGACCTCCAGCAACACCAGTAGCACCCCCAGCAGGACCGCCAGTAGTAGCCTCAGCGCCAACACCCTCAGTAGCTCCAGCTCCAGTCGTACCCGCAGGCCTAGCAGCTCCAGTACTCCCAGTACGAGCACCTCCGGGACCCGCGACACCAGCACCCTCAGTAGCCGAAGAACCTCCAGCTCCAGCAGCACGCCTCCAGCGCTGGGCAAACCACTTGCTCAGCTCCTGTGGAGAGAGTGGCTCCCGCCGAGACGAAGCACCCGGAGAACCTCCAGGCACAGTACCGCGCGAGGGGCCGTAATGGCGGTCAACGGGGCCGTGAGAGGGCCCACTAAGGGCGGCTCGAAGGTAGGGAGGGCACACAGAGCGCGACTCGGTCTAGAGTGAAGCGCGCTCCAGGCAGGGGAAAAAAAGTATTGTGGTGGGCCCTAGGTAGCGTTCCCACTAGGGAACCTGCTCGATACCATAAGAAGAAACGAGAATGGTTGAACTATGAAACAGTTGGGTACAAGTACTAACCCTAATCGGGTTGTACCCCTTATGGGCTACCCCACTACAGCCTACACAAATGTATAAGCTATAATGTTCTGACACAGCGCGCACGGGTAGGGCGGCGCTGGGCAACGAGTGCAGGCCCGCGGCGGGTGCAAAACGCAGGCACGGCGGGCGCAAGGGGCGGGCCCGCGGCGGGCGTAGCGGACAGGTGCGGGAGGGGCGAACGGGCGGGCCCGTGACGTGCTGAACGGGTAGGCACAGCGGCACAAAGGCAGGGCCCACGGCGAGCCTAACGGGCGGACGCGGCAGCGGGCGTAACGGGCAGGCGCGGCGGCGCGAAGTGAGGGCCCGCAGCGAGCCTAACGGGCGGGCGGTAGGGCGTGACGCGCAGGGCAACAAGGCGCTACGCGCGGGGCAGCAGAACGCAATGCGCGGGCTGCAGCAAGGCACGAGGTGCAGGGCAGTAGGGCACGCGGCATGGCAGGGCGTGCGCGAGGCAGCGCGACACGGGGCAGGGCAGGGCGTGCGCGATGCAGCGCAACGCGGGGCAGGGTAGGGCGTGCGCGGGGCAGCGCGACGTAGGACTGGGCGTACACGGGCAGTGTGACGCAAGGCAGGGCAGGGCAGGGCGCGCGCTGACGGCACATCGCAGGGCAGGGCATGGGGTAACGCGGTAACTGTAGTCGGTCACTAAGTAATGGTGGGCCCGAAAAATACGGTCCTAGGCTAGGACCTGCTCTGATACCATGTCAGAAGAATGAACGAGGAATGAATGAACTAGCAGCAGGATGGGTACAAGTAGGAAACCCTAATTGGGTTGTACCCCATATGGGCTACCCCACTACAGCCTATACAATAAGCTGCATATAAGTTCGACATGTTGCCCTCGCCTTCTTCATCGGGCGACTCCCGATGCGCTTCACCTCGCGTCTGACGTAGCTTGGTGTGTTTTCACGTAACTTTGGCACCTTTGCTGAGAGATTCTGCCCTGTTGCTTATGTTTCTGCCATTTGCGCCAACATCTTGTTTAACGTTTCCTCGTCCATGAGTCGCACGCTTCGTCTGGTGGGCAGAGGGGTATCTGTGGCCTTCAGGCGAGTGGAAAGCAAAAACTATTGGAGTCGGGTAGGTTAAAATTAAAGAACCTTGCAGCCAACTGATTTGCAATCCATTGTACCAGCTACACTCGTGCCACCAAACTACCCTCGAAAAGTGAGGTGAACTAGGAAAGTAGCTCTGATACCATGTGTTATGAGTTGTAAAAGAGGTTGCGCGAGATAACGAATAAGGAGGCTGTGACTCAATGAAATGACAATACAATGAAGACACACGCTAATATAGTGACTACCCTAGCTAGGAGGGAACCTTGGGACAACAAGTTTGGATGCAGGTTTGGCGATCGGAAAGCCGAAGGCGACGCGCATCGGAAATGTAGGCCAAACGTGCGAAGTCCGAAATGTCGGGGTTGTACGCGTAGCAGTCAACCATGGTAAGGAATAAGGAAAATTCCTTCCCTTTGCGATGACACATGCGACAACCTTTGTTCTTTATAAAATGTAGATGTTGGTTTCCAAAATTCGGTTACTGTATCCTGAACTTAGCGCAATGCTCAATTTAGTCACTCACGGGCTAAAACGTTCGCGACTGATATTCTGATTGTGCTGACCTTGGACACGGGATAAGGGCCCTGTTCGATAGCGAGGGTGACCCATGCCAGAAAACATTGAGGTGACCTTGTTCCTTGGGCGGGAAACGGTTTGCGACCTCATGCGATGGTGCATAATTCCCGTTGGGGTGTTGGGGCTTTTCGATGGGCCGCTTCAATGGGCCGTTGGGGTGGAGCTTTTCGACACCCTGCACGGTTGAGTTTGGTGAAACAAGCCGGCATTGGGGCGGCCAAATGATTACACTGCCGGCCCTGAGGCCCCACTTGCACTTTGTCGCGACCCTTAACCATTTGGGCGACAGGGCCATTCCAAACGGTTGCATCCTGGAAGCCCCAAAAGCTATCGAACAGGGCCAAGGTGAGCAACGACTGTGCAAGTTTTGCAACGCTTCACGGTGCAGTGTTACAGGAGGTGCCTCGCACCTGCTGTCGCATCCGTGTCCTGTCAAACGTCTGGACTTCGGGCTGAGCAGTTTTATTCTCCTGTACAGGTGCATGGCAAACCTGAACATCAGTTTGGGAGGAAAAATAGAGTTTTGTATACACCTTATTATTCTTTACAATGGACGGTGGGGGGTGAGCAAGGGAGAAGACGACGGTGAGGAGGACGCGAGGGGAGGACGGGGCCGAAGGGAGGTGGAGGGCGGGTGTGAGGGCGAGGGCGAGCGGGAGGGCAAGGGGAAGGGCGACGAGAAGGCGGGATAGAGGCGTGGGTGATGCTAAGGCGGAGGGCGATGGTGAGGGCGAGGGCTCGGGGTGGGGGGGAGGGGAGGGGGAGGGTGGGGGAAGGGGAGGGGGAGAACGAAGCTATCGCAGACATTTCTCGCGGTCGCGTTGCTTGCCTCCGTCACCAGCATCACCGCGCTCTACGGCCACTTGCCTCTCGCCTTCAAATTTAAAGTCCTCCATACGCAACGTTGCTTCTTTTCTTATCCTCTGGACTTAACTGCCACGAGCCGTTCCGATGCCACAACGTCTCTGTTGCAGCCTCCTTATCCTCTCGCCTCTTGCCTCTTCCCCCTAAACCTCTTATCCTTTTTACTCCATCGTAACTTTTCCCTGTGAGCTCATATCTCTCCCCTTCCCCCATGTGATTGAGTTGGGCGAGGTCGTTTGGTCGAGTTATTCGCGTCTTGGTGCAACAACCTCGCGCCCGTGTGGGAGAAAGTCGCAACGGCGCTAAAGGGAATCGTGACTGCTGCCGCGGTGGACTGCGACGCGAACCCGTCCCTCGCGCAAGAGTACGGCGTGCAGGGCATTCCCACCATTAAGGTGTTTGCGCTGCACCTCAAGACGCCCGCGGACTACGAGGGCCAGCTTGACACCAAGGCTATCGTGGACTTCGCGCTCTCGCAGGTTTGGTACGGGCGCGAGAGTTGTGTGCACGAGTTTCGTGCATACGAGAGTTGCGAGCGTCGGAGACGAACGAGAAAGAGTGTGGCGGTGGCGTGAGAATCGTTGAGCCGTTTCACTTCGCATGATTAAGAAGCCATTCAAAATTGGCATATCAGTCCTTTGCAGGAACTATTGAGTATACTCAGAAGACACGAGCACACATAACCGCCAATCCCTTACTAGCGCAACCCTCGTTCTTGGCCATGGAAAAACTTTCCTAAGTGTCTAATTGCGAGTTCCACATATGCCTCTCACTCTGTATTGCATCAATCTTTCTCCCCACGTTAGGTGAAATCGCTGGTCAGCGCGAGGCTGGGCGGCGGCGGCGGCAGTCCCAGTCAGTCGGTTCATGAAGGTGTGTTGTTTTCAACATTTCCATGTCCAAACTCTGCCATCACTCCTGCTCCCTCCCCATGATCCCATGTTGCCCCCCCTCCCCCAACCCTCCCCTTTCTCCCCCCACCCTCTCACCCCGTGTCTCACATGCATCCGCAGGTATGTGTGGGCAGAGGCAGGGGCACAACCAGCTTTGAGGCGCCCCAAAATTCCCCTCCTTCCCCGCCCTCCTCGTCTCTCCCCCCACCCTCTGACCCTGTGTCTCACATGCGTTCGCAGGTATGTGTGGGCGGAGGCAGGGGCACAGCCGGCTCTGGAGAAGGCTCTAGGCATGGGCGGCTATGGATACCCGGCTCTCATCGCCCTCAACGCCAAGAGGCAGCGGTTCAGCCCTTTCAAAAGCGCCTTCGAGCAGGAGCACCTGAGGTGAGCAGGGCAGAGGGCCCCAGGTGAGCAGAGCAGAGGGCCCCAGGTGAGTAGTGCGGTTCAGGTTATCAGTGCACTAGGAGCAGGGCGCTTGTGCAGATTCAATTTAATTAGTGGTCTGTTTTCTCTCTACCTACACACACCAAGGCTGCCGTGGCAGCTTCTCTTGAGTTCCACAGTGCCCTTCTGATGCTTGCTTCCTGCCTCACTTCAGCAAAGGAATCCAGCTACTGGTCCGCTCGCTGAGTCTCCGTTCACCTCCTCTCCTCTCTCCTTCCTGATCTCTCCTATCCCCAACCTTCAACAGTGAGTTTGTGCGTCTGGCAGCCCGGGGTGGGCGGGGCATAGAGCCCGTGGAGAGCATTCTAGAGGCGGAGAGCAGGGAGCCATGGGACGGCAAGGATGGGCAGGTGGTGGAGGAGGAGTTTAGCCTGGAGGACCTTATGGGAGATGACTCACCGGCCGCTGCTGCTGCTGCTGCTGACGAGCTCTAAGGGCACTGGATGCTAGGTTTTTGAGGCGCCTCAAAAGATGGCAAGGATGGGCAGGTGGTAGAGTTTAGCCTGGAGGACCTTATGGGGGATGACTCGCCTGTTGCTGCTGCTACTGATGACGAGCTCTAAGGGCAGTGGAGATTCAGTTTTGGGGAATGTTTTGAACTGGAATGTTCTTGCTGTAGCAAAACATACGAGGAGCCTGATACTATCAAATTTTGGTTTCACAATGTAAAACTTGTCAATTGGATAGCGTGAGAAAAAGGGCTGACGTTTCATTTTGGGCCTCCCTGATTTCGGGAAAATATTTCCCCTTGTATTATGAGGGCAATTTTTTCAGAGGTTTGCTACTCTGATTGGTCAGTGTCCAACAACGTCTCACTCTGATTTGTCAGGGTTCAGAGCAAGAAATCAGTGTTGCAGTCAATCACACAAATTTCTCCCACTCGGATTATACATTTCTCACGCCTCACTTCCTGGCCGGTCAAAGACAACAGAAATTGATATTGCGTGGTGTCTGCGACCCTCAGCACATGCGAAAGTACAGTGCACGTTCACCGTCAACCACAGTTTGCAGACGGTGAGCGAAACACCTCGAAACAACTCCCAAAAAAATTGGCGCCAAGAAAGGCGACAAAACAGCACATCGCACGAACTGGCGATGGTGTAGTGTAACCCATTAGGAGAATTCCGCACGCATTGCAATCTGCAAACATTCATGCCGTTCCTCTCAACTTCTCAACTCCAGCCACCGCCATGAATGTCGTTCGATTGCTTTCGCGTGGGCGAATCTGAAGGCACATAAGATACGTCCTGTCTGAGCAAATTCGCACAAGAAATTTTCCCTGTCAAGGACAAGAGATTTCCTCTGACAGAGCAGATCTGTGTCAGAGGTCCACTGGTGATCCCCGATTGATCCTAGGGAAGGGTTACAAGCACGTTGGCCTAGAGGGTTATGGGCGCACTGACCCGCTACTTAACAAGCCCTTTTATCCCAATGGTCTAGTGGTTGGGATTCTGACATGGTATCAGAGCGAAGGTCTCGGGTTTGAATCCCGGTGTGTGTACCTCGGGCATTCTAGTGCGGGGGGGTGTCAGAGGTCCACTGGTGATCCCCGATTGATCCTAGGGAAGTGTTACAGACACGTTGGTCTGGGGGGTTATGGGCGCACTTACCCGCTACACAAACAAGCCCTTTTATCCCAATGGTCTAATGGTTGGGATTCTGACAATCTGCTGTGACAGAGGCGTTCTGCCGAAAATCCCCGCAACATGCTGCGCCTCGCACGACACCACAAACATCCACCCCACCCCACATTCCCCCCAAACATCCACCCCACCTTCCCACATGGGTGTTACTTGTCGGTATTACTGTACAGAAAGGGCTCCCTCACATGGGTACATGCGAAATCATGATTACGCACATGGGGGGTTATCGGGAGGAAATTTCCAGGAATCTTCGTCCCGATACCCTCGCATTCAGGGTCCACAGAACGCGTACTCTACATTGACAGAGTCAATAAGAACACTACTCTGAGCCAAGATACAATATTTCAGGGTTCGCTAAAGCACTACCGTATGGGCCCGGATATAAGCGCAGGCCTATGTTAAGCGCATGCGCTTGTATCTGGAGCAATGCGCTTATGGCCGATCCTCAATTATAAGCGCACCCCTTGGAAAATCGTGACTTATTATAAGCGCACCCTTTTAGTTAAAAAATAAAGTATCATTAATTTTTTTTACCTACCTAGCCTACATGTTCTAAACTTTCCATTAAATTAGACAATCACATACAAGGGTGGTCTCTGCTGTCCCGCACTACACACCTTTCAACCTGCCTAGTCTACCCTACTGCCTATTCTTCCTCCTCGTCCGACTCGGGCTCCGTGGAGTTGTTGCCGCAGAACCCATCTGCCTGGATGTCGTCGTCCATCTCCACTTCATGGGACAACTGGCCTCTCCGGTGCGCCAGCACCAGTTTGTTTCGCTCCCATCAAGGGCGTCGCTGATGCCGCATGTGAGGAAGGATTTCTTGATGAGGTCGGCGGGCACCGCCTTCCATGCCCGTGAAATCCACTTGAGCACCACCTCCGGAGCTGGTTTCTTGATGTTCCCTGCATCACACGGAGTGGGGCGGGGAATGTCAAACTTATATGCTATAGTCTGTATAGGCTGTAGTGGGGTAGCTCATATGAGGTACAACACTTTAGGGTTTCCTACTTGTACTCCTCATGCTGCTCACTGCAATCATTCCTCAATTCTCACATGGTATAGAGCAGGTTCCCTAGTGGGAACGCTTCCTAAGGGCCCACCACTGAAATTTCTTTCCTGCCCGGAGCGCGCTTCTCTCCTGCCCGAGTCGCGCCCTGTGTGCCCACCCTCCCGTCGCGTCCCTAGCCCTTAGCGGCCCATCGCGCCCTCCTCAGGCCCCTAGCGGCCCCTTTCGTGGCCCCTCACGGCCCCTCTCACGGCCCTGTCGTCGCGCCTCTAGGACCGTCGCGGCCCCTTTGCGGCCCCGTTGCCGCCCCTCTAGGCCCCTCGCGGCCCCTTCGCGGCCCCGTCGCCGCCTCTCCACGCCCCGTCGCCGCCTCTCCACGCCCCGTCGCCGCCTCTCCAGGCCCCTCGCGGCCCCTTCGCGGCCCCGTCGTCGCCTCCTCTAGGCCCCTTATGACCCCTCTACGACCCGGTCGCCTCCCCTAGCGGCCCCGTCGCCGCCCCTGGAGGCCCCGTCGCCGCCCTTCGCGGCCACCTCGCCGCCCTTTGCAACCTTGTCGCCGCCCTACCGGCCCCGTCGCCAACCCTAGCGGCCCCGTCGCCGCCCTAGCGGCCCCGTCGCCAACCCTAGCTGTCAGAACTTATAGCTTACTTGTTTCTGTAGGCTATAGTGGGGTATCCCATAGGGGGTACAACCCAATTAGGGTTTCCTATTTGTACTCACTTCGTTCATAGTCATTTCATTCTCGTTCTTTGTTTCCACATGGAATCAGAGCAGGTTCCCTCCTAGGGACTGCTTCTACGGCCCACCGAACCGCGCCCCGAGGCGCGTTTTTTTTTTTTTTAGCGACCCGTCGTGTCGCCCCTAGCGGACCGTTGCGCCGCCCTTCCCCTCGCGGCTCCGCCGCCCTTCCCTAGCGGCCCCGCCGCCCTTCGATCGCGGCCCCGCCGCCCTCTGCTACGCGGCCCCGCCGCCGCCCTTCGATCGCGGCCCCGCCGCCCTCGGCTACGCGGCCCCGCCGCCCTCTGCCTCGCGGCCCCGCCGCCCTCTGCTACGCGGCCCCGCCGCCCTCTGCTACGCGGCCCCGCCGCCCTCTGCTACGCGGCCCCGCCGCCCTTCGATCGCGGCCCCGCCGCCCTTTGCCACGCGGCCCCGCCGCCCTCTACTACGCGGCCCCGCCGCCCTCTGCTACGCGGCCCCGCCGCCCTTCGATCGCGGCCCCGCCGCCCCCTGCTACGCGGCCTCGCCGCCCTCTGCTACGCGGCCCCACCGCCCCCTGCTACGCGGCCCCGCCGCTCTCTTCGGTCGCGGCCCCGCCGCCCTCTGCTACGCGGCCCCGCCGCCCTCTGCTACGCGGCCCCGCCGCCCTCTTCGGTCGCGGCCCCGCCGCCACTCTGCTACGCGGCCCCGCCGATCCGCCCAGCAGCAGCCGCCGCCGCCTGAGCCGCCGCCGAGCCGCAGCCGAGCCGTCGCCGAGCCGCCGCCGAGCCGCCGCCGAGCCGCCGCCGAGCCGCCGCCCGAGCCGCCGCCGAGCCGCCAGAGCCGCCGCCGAGCCGCCCGTGACGCCCGAGCCGCCCGCGCCGCCCAGCAGCAGCCGAGCCGCCGCCGAGCCGCCGCCGCCTGAGCCGCCGCCGAGCCGCCGCCGCGCCGCCGCCGAGCCGCCGCCCGAGCCGCCGCCGAGCCGCCCGCGCCGCCCGAGCCGCCTGCGGAGCCGTGCTGCTGTTCCTCTGCTGCTGACCTACCCGCCTCTCCCAGCCCGGTGAGATTTTCAGCTGCTGTCATGGCCACCCCCAATGTTCTTACCTTTGACGCTGAGGGGAGGGCCATTGACTTTGCCGTCTGGATTGAAGACCTGCAGCTGTACTTACTGTGTGATGCGATAGATGAGGTCTCTCTCTTTGACTTTGTCTCTGGCGCTGTCCCTGCCCCACCTGCTGATGCTGACTCTGCCGTTCGCTCCAAGTGGGCGACCCGCGATGCTGCTGCACGTCTTGCTGTGCGTCGCCACCTCCCTTCCTCTGAGCGTGCCCACTTTAGTCAGTGCAAGACCGCTCAGGCCTTGTACGACGCTGTAGTTGCACGCTACTCCTCCCCTTCCTCCGCTACCCTTAGCCGCCTCATGCTACCGTTTCTCTTCCCTGACCTCGCTTCCTTTCCCACTGTCGCTGACCTCGTTACCCACCTCCGTGCTAGTGACACCCGCTACCGCGCTGCCCTTCCTGCTGAGTTCCGCGCTGCGAACCCTCCTCCCATGTACATCACTCTCTACTTTCTCGTCACCCGTCTCCCTGAGTCCCTTCGTGTCGTTAGGGACCAGTTTCTCTCTGTCTGTCCCACCACTCTCACTGTCGACCTCCTTGAGGAGTCCCTGCTAGCGGCTGAGAAGAGTATTGTCGCTGTAGGGGCCTCTCGGGGTGACCCTCGCACCCCTATCTTTGAGGGGTGTGGTCCTTCCCCCCTGCTGCCCTCTGTCGCCTCTGCCGCTGCGGCCGACCTCACTGGTTTTGAGTCGGTCGGCGCGGCGTCTGCCCCCAGCGGCAGACGCCGCGCTGGCAAGGGCAAGGGGGGCAAGGGGGCGGGTGGAGCTAGAGGGGGCGGTGGAGGAGGCGGTGGGGGTGGCGGGGGGAGTGGGGGTGGCGGTGGGGGTGGTGGCGGGAGTGGAGGTACTGGTGGCGGCGGTGGAGGCGGAGGTGGCGGCGGAGGTGGTAGCGGAGGAGGCGGTGGGAGCGGTGGGAGCGACGGTCCTGGTGGGGGAGGTGGAGGTGGAGACGGGGGTGGCGGTGGA